CACTCGCTGCCAAAAGAACTCCGGACTAGGCTTCGTCGATTCAACTTTCTCCTACTGCTACTGCCGATGAACAAGAGGAAATACAAATGTTGCTTCCTTTTTAGATTCTCTCCCTCCCTTTTCACACTGCCCTACTTTTCACTTCCATTATTTCTTTATTTTTCCCACCTTAATTATAACTATTTACTACTGTTCTTTTTAATTATAATTCATATTTTTTTATATCAATAATAATAAATAATTTGATTCAATATTAATGTTTATTATTAATATAAAAACTTTAATTTTGATTAAAAATTTGATTCTAAGTATTTATGACATTAATTTGTAATTTTGTGTGGATGTTATTGGTCATCAATGACTAGTAATTTATATAAAGGGATGGGGGAACAATTAGTTGGAACGCGTGGAGCCCATGGCAGGAGCCAATAGATAAAAAGAAATACTTTGTATTGGATGAGCAAGTAGTCCAATAAATTTAGGAAATTCAAATAATTAGAGTGACCATTTCAAAGAGCTTAGGGTATTATTTTATTTTTCTTTCTCTCATTCAATTCATCTAATGACACGCTAATTCGTTTCCAGAATAGTGTGGGCACGAGGCGTGGAAAATCAACTTTGTTGAAATAGGAAATATACCATGGAGCATGGGTGACCTAACACAGGCTTCCTTCATGGAAGGCACATGACTTGTTGGTTAACAATTAGCATCCTTACAGGGTAGTGCTGTAGCGAAATCACGGGTACCACAGTCCAATTCTGCGGCGACGACTAAGCCACATGACTCATACCCAATACGAGGGCCCCTTTCCCTTCACCCCTATCCCCCTAGGCCCTAGCTAGGTCTGGCACCCAAAAGATAAATAAAAATGAATAAGGGAATATGTTCCAGACAGGAGTGTCAGTTAAAAAATATATACTGATGGAAGGAATCGAAATTTACACAGTAACAACTGACAGAGATTTCTTATGATTTGCGAGTCTGGGTATCATGTAAACATTGTTTCTTCTGCCCGTGTCACATTGTTTTGGTAAGAAACCCAGGCAAAAACATGCTAGTACAAGATGGATCGAGTAGAATAACATGACCGGTCAAAGTAATATGGTTGCATCTCACATGCAAATTCGCTGTGTAATGAATTGAAGATAAAGATGCACAGCCTGAGATGGGACGGGGCCCACAGATATAACTATAAGCATCTCCATCATTGTCAATTAGTTTCAATTAATACTGGAAAACCCAGGAGTGCACGATCGCTAGACAAAACACATAAAAATATTTATGACATACTACGATATAAATTGAATTTAGAATAAACATAAGAAAGGTTCACACGTGAAATGGAACATGTATAAAATAGCTCCCATAATTGCAAACCAGTTCATGGCATTGACATGGTCCTACCCGTGCGAAAGGTTCATGCATCCTGTTGGATGGATATAATTCTTTCCAACCGTATGCTAATGCTGCGAATAATTAATAGTGAAAGGATGAAGAAATAAATAAAAAAAAAGAATAGTGGTGATTAATTTTGGTTAGTGCATGATTGAGATTGATTTAGATTAAAAATAGAGTAATTAATGTAAAAAGAAGAAGAAAAAAAAGAGGGTTGGGCATTGAATTATAGGGTAATAGAAGTAGAAGGCGATGATTGGGAAGATGGGCGGTAATTGGGGATAGGAGTGAGGTGACGTGATGTTTAGTTGGAAGGGGCAGAGATACGGACAAAGGAGGAAATGAGAGTGGGTGGGGCCCAGGGAGTCGGCTCCACACGTGCGACACAGAAACCCATAATAAAAAAAGGAAAAGCGTGGGGGGGGACCACGTTTGACGTGTCGAGAGGAGTGCATGGGTGTGGTGTGGCTGTAAGCCTGTAACACGAGAATGTGGTCCCCACTCCCCACACAACAGAGGAATCCCACGGCTCGGCGCGCCAATCCATTCTTTTCATGCTGTCACTTGTCACTTCTCATTTCTCATTTCTCATTTCTCATTTCTCACTACCCTCTTTCTCAAGTCAAGTCTTCACTTGTTTAATTAAATAACTTTACACATCAAACCTTCTTTCCGTGTTAATAACGTCCCTCACCTTACAATTAATGCACACGCCTCTCAATTTTACCATTACAAAACACATATTACATTAACTATTTTTATTTTTTTAATTAAAACTACACTTTATCATATTTTCAAAATTTACTCTGAATTGTCTTCATTTTTAATGTTATACCATATTTTAGTTTTTGTTTAATACTTTTTAATGTTTATTAAGAATGTTCTCGAGTATCAGTTAAAAAAAATGTTCTTTAGTAACTATTAAATATTACTGTCTTTCAAGTTGTAGCATATAGGATTAGAAGTTGATAATTATATTTATATTTTTTTTATTCTTCATTCTTAAGCATTAACTACTATGATAACTTTAACAATATTTAATATTTTTTATATAAATTTTAGAGATCATAAAAATACTTTTTAATAATTTAAATACAAAGAAAAAATAGGGCGACCGTGACCCTCCATGTCCCCCTCCCTCCTCCCCTGTATGCCAAATTGAAAATTTTGTCGTGGAATAATACGTTTCGTTGGTAAATAATACGAGTAATAAAAGTATTTGATTTGAGCTGGTTTAAATTACAAAAAGAAAAAACATTTACCTGATATGTGGTCTACTTGCAAATTACTTATAGATATTTCATAATAAAAATAGGATGCATGAGAAAAAATATTTCTTTACTTTTATTTCTCTTATTTTTTAAATCAAACAAAATATATTTTTCCTCTGCTGCCCTTTGAGCCTTCTCACTTCCATCTTTTTCTTTCTTTTCTTCATTAAATACTTTTATTTTCAGCTATTAGATGAGTCTAATGACAAGAATTAGAGTAAATATGCACTTTTTTTTATATGGTAAAAGTATACATATCTTAAATTTTAATTTTATTGTTCTCATTATAATTTTTTATAAATAAAAATAAAATCTCTATCTCCACCGTCTAATCCTCTATTAAACCAAACACTCTAAAAATCAATTATTCATCCTTTTTCGTTAATTTTTCTATCTTATAATAGGAAAAATAAGTATATTGCTGTTTAAAAATACACATACTCCAAATATTTTAGAAAAAATAAGAATGATCTATATTGTGAAAGATATTATTTCTTTTGGAGAAAAATTATTTTTTAAAATACTATTTTTATGAGTCAAAGTAACAATTAAGAAGGATAAAATTAAAAGTGCTTATTATAAATTATAAATTGTAACAACGCGCTTCCAACTATCAACGTCTCCCACTATAATTGTTTATTTTTCAAATCTTGACTAAAAGCAAAACTTGTAATTCACGAAACACGGAATGTCCATGAAAGCGTTAATAATTGTTTATTTTGTTTATCAATATTCGTTAATTGTGTTTTATAAACAAAGATTGATATTCGGTTTTTACATAAACATGGAATAATAATTAAAGGTATGTTTTACCTCCAGATATACAGACTAATGAGAGATATCTATAACTCTTAATTATTATAATAATAAATAAACAATAAAAAATATTAACTAGTATCTTAAAGACATTGAGTAACTCGCAATTGGTTAATTCAAACAACATTGAGCTTTATTCTTTAAAAAAAAATGAATTTAAATATTGTAAATTAAAAAAAAGAAACCTAATATTTTATAAAATTAATAAAAAATGATATTTTTAATATTATCAATATAATTTTTCCTTGATTTTTAATAAAAACTTTGATTTAGTTTAACTAGCGATGAAAAATATTAATAAAGAGGTAGCCAAACTTGCCCTAAAAAGAAGTAGCGAAGCTAATAAAGAAGAAAGGTAGGGTAGAGGAATAAAAGCAAGACAGCAACAAAGAAAGGGAGCAAGACTTGGCACACGTGCGTTAGGAAGGAACCAATGGGCACCATGTGGGAACCACGACCACGTGCCCTCACATCTGTTGAATTATATGCTAGATACTTGTCTCTTTTTCTTTTTTATTTAATCTAATTAAATAATTATGTTATTTCTCCTAATAAATTAATCTTATGCAACTCACATTTCTTATTGATTGCATAATATTATTAAAAAATAACTATTATTTTTTATATTAAAAATAACAATAATTTAATATTTTAATTCTATCCTATTGAAATATGACTAATATGTTTTTTAAAACTAAAACTTTTCCTGCCAATAAAAGATATTTGCTCACCTAGTATTTATTTGTGTTAAATACCTAACATTTTAAAAAAAAAATTATCATGAAGTCACATCACCAACACTTTTTTTTTTTTTCTGTTTTGTTTTCAATATGACCATTCGGTCTACAATGGCGGAGGAGAGCACGTGGGGGGTGGGGGTCCATAGTCCATACAGATGGATTGATTGACTCGGGAGCTCCATAAATTAAAGATTACATTTTTTAATTAATGGGAATCAATACTTATTTTGTATATTCTTCATGATATAATTTGTCCAGAACATGAATTCGTGTCAAATTGTTTTAACCATAATTTTGAATGAGTAACTATATCAGATATTTAAAGATAAATTTTTTTAGAATAGTCCAATATTCAAAGACGAATCTACTAGTGATTTGATAAATACATCAAATTTAAAAAAGTTAAATGGTCAATAATCAAAATAACAAATCTACGAAAACTTGTGTAACACTCACACAATATTAATTTAGTGCCGGTTAAAAAAATAATTGTTTTAATACTTGGTTGCAAAAAATTAAAGTACTTTAATTTAAACAGAGTAATAAAACTATATTGATGGAATTTTCAAAATACTATTTTGTGATTACAATTATTAAAGGCGTTAAAATTTTACTTCATTAACATTTCTTACATATATTAATCAAAGATCATAATCTCAGCAATGTTATTTTCAAATCACAGTGTAAGTGTATCATACTCAACATCAACAAGAACCATGTAGAAGCTTAACTCTACTTCTTAGATTTGTTTTTTTATTTTTAACTATGGTAAAATATCCATCATTAAAAATAACGATTAAATTCTGTCGGGAATCGTGAATGTACACCGAATATTTCCCTTCTCAATTTTTATAGATGTAAGGTAAACTTTATATAAAAGCCAGCTAATTCTATTGTTCATAAATCGGTTGAGATCAAAATTTGCTACTGCTCTTTGGATAGTAGATACATACTTTTTAATTTTGGGCT